ACATTTTGTATATGGATTACCTCATCTACCTCAAACCACATACGAATTAGCTCATCTACCTCAAACCACTATATGAATTAGCTCATCTACCTCAAACCACTATAAGAATTAGCTCATCTACCACAAACCACTATAAGAATTAGCTCATCTACCACAAACCACTACATTTTGTATATGGATTACCTCATCTACCTCAAACCACTATATTAGCTCATCTACCACAAACCACTATAAGAATTAGCTCATCTACCACAAACCACTATATGAATTAGCTCATCTACCACAAACCACTATATGAATTAGCTCATCTACCACAAACCACTATATGAATTAGCTCATCTACCACAAACCACTATATGAATTAGCTCATCTACCACAAACCACTATATGAAATAGCTCATCTACCACAAACCACTATATGAATTAGCTCATCTACCACAAACCACTATATGAAATAGCTCATCTACCACAAACCACTATATGAAATAGCTCATCTACCTCAAACCACTATATGAATTAGCTCATCTACCACAAACCACTATATGAATTAGATCATCTAGAACAACCACTATATGAATTAGATCATCTACCACAAACCACTATATGAATTAGCTCATCTACCACAAACCACAATATGAATTAGCTCATCTACCTCAAACCACTATATGAATTAGATCATCTACAACAACCACTATATGAATTAGCTCATCTACCACAAACCACTATATGAATTAGCTCATCTACCACAAACCACAATATGAATTAGCTCATCTACCTCAAACCACTATATGAATTAGCTCATCTACCTCAAACCACTATATGAATTAGCTCATCTACCTCAAACCACTATATGAATTAGCTCATCTACCTCAAACCACTATATGAATTAGCTCATCTACCTCAAACCACTATAAGAATTAGCTCATCTACCACAAACCACTATATGAATTAGCTCATCTACCACAAACCACTATAAGAATTAGCTCATCTACCTCAAACCACTATAAGAATTAGCTCATCTACCACAAACCACTATAAGAATTAGCTCATCTACCACAAACCACTATATGAATTAGCTCATCTACCACAAACCACTATAAGAATTAGCTCATCTACCTCAAACCACTATAAGAATTAGCTCATCTACCTCAAACCACTATAAGAATTAGCTCATCTACCACAAACCACTATATGAATTAGCTCATCTACCACAAAGCACTATATGAATTAGCTCATCTACCTCAAACCACTATATGAATTAGCTCATCTACCTCAAACCACTATATGAATTAGCTCATCTACCACAAACCACTATATGAATTAGCTCATCTACCTCAAACCACTATAAGAATTAGCTCTGCCCCCTCTTATACACACTAGGTTTTTCTTTCTTTTTTTGTTTTTGATATTTATTTTTTAGATTGTATAACAGTTTTAACAAAATAATTCATATGAAGTCAACAAAGTCCAAAAATCAAAAAAAGTTAGTAAATTCGCTATAAGTGAATAAAACTTGTTATTGTCAAGAAAGGTGAAATAATCAGACTAGTCTTTTCACGTATATATTCGTTATTACACAAAATAAGCTATATACATTGCTGTGAACAGTCATCAAGTTAACAAAATATGGCAGTGACTAATATTAAATATCAACATAATGCATACATTGGTGAGTTTGCATTACATTCCACAGCATGAACTCCATGTTATAACATTGATTTACGGGAAAACATTGTGCATAAATTCAACTGAAATTAGGGTTTAATTTTCCCGTTCAAATTGGCATTACTGGCACCTCCGAAAAAAATTGTTCAATTGTTTTTGAACAAAACATTGCCAAAGTTTTTATGAACTTGTAGAGCATTACAGAAAATAAATAACAATATGGGAAGTGCTACTACTGTAACACTTGGTGGCGCTGTAAGGCATTTATTCATTCTTTAAATAAGCCCTGGAAACGGGCCAAATAAGACCAAATTGTGTGGATTTAAGGCCAGTTTTGTAAAAAATTTGGCGCAGGTCTGTGTCGAATGACACCAGTTGAATCTTCACTACAACAAAATGTTCACAATTCCCATCGACTTGTGAAATTCATGAAAATTCGTCTCACACGAAATGAAAGCAGTTTACAGTAACAAATTTCATTCTGATAAATGTTTTGTATATTTTTCATAAATTCAATAAAATAATGAAATGATACTCAGTTTAAACTTGCTCAATCAAAGGAATTTCACTGATATAATTGTTGATGTCAATGAAAAAAATAACAAAATATGATTGGCTGCTGAGTTAGCCAATCAGAAAACAGCTTTCAAAGAAGGGAGCTATGATTGATGAGAGTACACATTTCACTTTTTCCTTTTTTTAGTTGGTGGCTTTGGTGAAAAGAAACTTGCGATATTCTTCATCCCAGACTTGTCCACTTTTTTCAGGGTTTTTTGAGCATTTGTTAACTTTCCAGCAGGCTACAAGAAAACAGAACAAACTCATTGCTTTACATATACAGTGACCTTTTGCTAAGTCGCAGATGTTGAGATCCAAGCAACATTACCGTAAAAGCCCTAATATAAACCGTGGTTTATATTACAATGTATCAATTAAAACAAACAATACACCGTATAATCTTTTGAATAGGCGTCAGGGAAGAGTGAAAGGCCTTAACTTGGTTCTAGAATAGGCACAAGAAAATATTAAAATATTATGCTATAATCAAAGAAAATTGCCATGTTCGCCATTCTTGCTTAGCCAGAACAGTGTGCAAATTTTCGGAGGCTGGTTGAAAGATGATGGTTTTATTTAATGAGGGGAGTTGAAAACATTGCTTTTCAGTGTACTGCGACTCTGTGCGCTGGGAATGTTTGAAATCTGTTCTACCTTCCGGTTTATTGACATCAGGTCACACAATATGCACAAACGTGCAAACACTATCAATTCGGGAAATAGGAATTGCTTTTCTAAATGATGCCTACTATCCCACTGGAGATGATGACATTCTGCTGTCATCAGCTGATATGACTGGCCCCGTTGATATAGGCTAATAAAACACACTTTTACCTTCACAGTGTTAGATTCTGTACTATTGAACTTGGTGTAGTCTTCGTCAGGTTCACAACCATTGGATAACCTTAGTTTCTATGAACACAAGAATAGATTGGTGAATATATATCATTCTTGGAAACTGAAATGTAACGTTTCGATTTATTATTTTCAGAGACACTGGACTAGGAACATAGACAAGCAATCATGAGTGTAATATCTGTTGTGTGTTTAAAATACTCAAAAACTCAAATCCACATAACACCAGCTTCATTCACTGTGTGAGAGAAATCTACATACATACCATACCATACATACCACTGATACATGTATCAGAAACACTACTAGGTAGTGTGGGTTTAGAAATAGACACACAGTTTTGATCAGAGTTGAACAAACTTCACAAGGGCACAAGCAAGCAGTTGTATTGTGCTCATCATTGAACACTTTGTCGTTTGATCCTTAATAATTCAATGGACACACCATATGACATTGAAATGATCATTTTAATGCATTTATTTACCGAGATCTTTACCGAAATAGGCAATAGCTGAATTTTGAAAGGTTCTACCTGCTGCAGTTGATGTTGTGGCTTTAAACCAACCTTTGGTTAACTGGGAATCTCATCTTCAACTTGACTAAAGCTGCTCAGACAAGATGCAGGGTCTGATCTACAATCTGAGATAGCAGCAGGAATGGTGAAAACTTAAACAACTCACCTTAGCAGGAGGTCCCTCAGGGGAGGATTTCTCCACCACTTTCTCTTTAATACTGGCAAATAAATAAATAGTTAATAAAGCCTTGCATGGTAATAGTTCTCAGGTACTGACAACTGGACTTGTTTGTTGTAAACAAATTTTGTTATTTTTCAGATTTTAGATTTCAGAAAATTGATTATTTTACAGAATAAATTGTCTGCATAATTTCTGAAGTCCTGTGCCGAACAAAGTAATGAACGTTAAGGAACATTTGTACTTACTCTAAAAACTGATTGAGTTCTTTACTTAATGATATACTAAGATAATCAGACATCATCCCGTGAGAGAATCGTAGATAGTCATCTAAGGAATGAAAACATGGCATGACACCAAACAAATTATCTACCATCAACACATTCCCTTCATTTCTATAAAAGTGAAGCAAGTGAGATTGTTGTCTTGCTACCTTGATAGAAATGTTAATTAACCATTGCCTCTCGTCATACTATTATCTTTACTACTCCATACAAATGTTAACTAGTCATTAACTCTAGTCACACTATTATTTTAACTACTCCATACAAATGTTAACTAGTCATTACCTCTAGTCATACTATTATCTTTACTACTCCATACCAATGTTAACTAGTAATTACCTTTAGTCATACTATTATCTTTACTACTCCATACCAATGTTAACTCGTCATTAACTCTAGTCACACAATTATCTTTACTACTCCATACAAATGTTAACTATTCATTAAATCTGGTCACACTATTATCTTTACTACTCCATACCAATGTTAACTATTCATTACCTCTAGTCACACTATTATTTTTACTACTCCATACAAATGTTAACTATTCATTAACTCTGGTCACACTATTATCTTACTACTCCATACAAATGTTAACTAATTACCTCTAGTCACACAATTATCTTTACTACTCCATACAAATGTTAACTCGTCATTAACTCTAGGCACACAATTATCTTTACTACTCCATACAAATGTTAACTATTCATTAACTCTGGTCACACTATTATCTTACTACTCCATACAAATGTTAACTAATTACCTCTAGTCACACAATTATCTTTACTACTCCATACAAATGTTAACTCGTCATTAACTCTAGTCACACAATTATCTTTACTACTCCATACCAATGTTAACTATTCATTACCTCTAGTCACACTATTATCTTACTACTCCATACAAATGTTAACTAATTACCTCTAGTCACACAATTATCTTTACTACTCCATACAAATGTTAACTCGTCATTAACTCTAGTCACACAATTATCTTTACTACTCCATACCAATGTTAACTATTCATTACCTCTA